AATAAAATGTTATCTTGACCATCTCGGGCTACCGTATCTCTATCGATCATGCTAACTGCTTGCAGAAAAGAAAGGCTAGTAACATCGACTGAAACCTTGGTTCTGCACAAAAATATTCGTACCTTGTATAATTTAGAATAAAATAGTGTCTTAATTATTATAATAGGCTGATCGAAAGTCAGCCTACACCGTCTCAATAAATTTGCAGGGTACTCCTCAAACCTTGTGTCGCAGAGTGCAATATATTTGAACTTCAATCAAGTTTAACCTCTGGTTTAAAGCACCATTCATGTAGCAAAGCTTTTGATTATCTTGGGAAAATTAGTAACCATTATGACTGTCCATACTCCCTCAATTGCTCCTCTTCTTCAATGATTTCCAGTGGTTCATGTGTCTCGGGTTGCTCTGCTGCCATTGGTGACTCAGAGTAAACGAGTTTTCACTTTCTAGGTACGCTGAATCGGTGATCAAATTCTTGATACTTTGCTAACGACGAACAACAGCCACCGAAATCGACAGTGGAGGTTTGAATTTGGCCAACAGCCATAAATTGTCTTGGAAAATTATGCCATTCCGAAAAATTGGGCGAAGTTTAAAAGAAATGACGCTAAAATAAAAATCATTGTAAATTTTTACATGTTGCCAATAGAATACAGCAATGGGTTCCTTAATCAAGGAATTGTTATCTTGGTATGAAGTTCGGAAGCTCTAGAAAAAATTTTGTAAACGTATCTCTTCAAGTAAATAGCAAGTCAATTTACCGTAGAAATAGATTTCTTGAATTAAATCATTAATCTGAAAGGAACCACTGTTCAGTCAGTAATTGAAAAGCAGGTCCAACTAAAAATAAGCGACGCTAAGCAACAGTAACAGCAACGGGGTATAGAATCTGCATCTGAGAAGCGATAGACCTGGTGATGCAATTTGCAAAAATGATTCGATTTTGCTATAAAAAATAGCTATTCATCTACGGGAACAGTGGGAGACTGTCAAAAAACGAGTTCTTCATGAACGGTAATTGATATTTTTGAGAAGTGAGATTACCATTAACTGTAGTTAGCACCGTTTACCAGAATCAACACAATTCAAACAAACTCCGGTCCAATTATAAGAGTTACAGAAGGGGACGCAGTTCACCGTAACTGACTAGCGATGAAAGAAACAAGCGCAAATTTTGAATTACGTGTTCTTTTTTTCTGAGGGACACAACACTCAGTTAGCGACTTCGCTTTAGGAGACATCTTAAAAGACAATTTTGCCTTCTGCCACTTTTAGAACGGAGTCGTTTGCAATTCTTCCGTGTTTTGGCAAGTTCGTTAAGTGAATGTTAATTATCTCAGTGACTCATCTGCCTTTCTTACTCATTAACCTTGTGGCCTTGCTAGTGGGCCAGCAGAACCTCTCTGAAGCAGATGTCAGATGATCGTTGAGGAATTAAAGTGCAGTGGAGGAAATGACTCGTTTAGACTTCCGTAACGTCCGTATTTCAGGCCTTCACGTTCTTCATGTCTTCTTCATGTCGTCGTTCTAAAGAATGCTAGCTACCTGATGGTTCACAAAAGAAGATAGTGGAGGATATTTTTTGGTCTGCGATATTCAGTGTGCAGAACAAGTGGTTGCCAACATTTGTTAGCCAGTTGCCAGAAATACCTAAAACGTCGACATCATGTTTACATGCTCTGCCTAAAGGACAGGATTCCGCGCTTTTGTCGACCTAATGTCGGCTTGCACCCATAAGTAAATAAAGTAAATAACTAGATATCTTTATTGCATCTGGTTAAAATGAGACATACTCGATGTTAAAATCTGATACCCTAACTTTTTGACAGATTTTCACCAGTAACATTCTGGATGACCTTTTTAGTTCGTGAAATCTTTTCGACTGAAACAGCTAAAGAAAATCTATTCATAAGTACGGATCTGTCTCACAGGGTTCAATTGGTTCGCCTTTACTCTCTCAGTCCTATGGTGACAAGTTGAACCTTGATGGACAAAAATAATACAAAGGCATGGTAGCACCTTTTCAATGAATAACGGACTTATGTGTTGAAGATGGGACATAAAAGTTCACAAGATATTACCAGAAACAACTCAGCAGATTTTTCTCTAAATACTACTTTTGAACATCAAGCCTATGCAGAATAATTGGAGGCTCCCTCTTGCATTTTCCCCCAAAAAATAGCTCGCTGAGTTTCGGACAATTTAATTACCAAAAATAATAATATACATTATTCACGATTGCGATCCGACTATAAACAATTTAATGCCTCGAAACAAAATTCAACTGTTCTGCTTGATGTGCCTAGGCAATTCATTGATGAACTTACCAAATGGACCGTTTCCGTCAGATGTTCGGTCGAATAGTGGGGCTGCGGTAGGAAGGGCTGCGACTTGGAAGCGCACCGTTGATCTCAGTTCATTAAAGATGATTGACTCGTCGATGAACAATATTTTCTCGCTGTCGTGCCTTCTTATACCTGTCCATTTTAATTGCCTGTCGGCTTGAATCAACTTATCACATTCCTGCGCAGAGGTGCCTTCAAGCGTCCGATTGCTGCCACCTCGCTCGAGCAACGGTGTTACTAAGCCATAGGTGTGAACAGCTGTTGGTACTACCCCAGGCTGAAAACTACGACGTCACTAGCCCTGAAGAAACGATCAGGTAAATAAACAATTATCAGTGGCATGAATTAGAAGGGAAACTGCTGAAACCACGGCAGTGTTCTTTAACGATTTCATGCAGCTGGATTTGGCATTTAGCTTAACGCTACAATGCTAAGATGATAGCCTTCTTCGAGAAGCGATCTTGTGATGCAGCTACTTCTCTCATAGAAACTGAGAATCTGGAAAAAGGCCTCAAGCCTTATTTATATTGCATTTATTGAAATTAAATGCGAACCAATCATGAATCAAGAAAATATGTGATTAATTGAAATTGAAATTCAAAGCCCATTTGTTTATTACTGGAGTTGATTTCGAAAGTTCATTTTGATTCTGCGCTAAGAGCCGATCAATCTTCTAATCCGAACAATTGAATCGGAAACACGGAAGATTTACTAATAGAGTTTTTGGTATTTACTCATCTGGTCAATATGGAATGGACTATGTGAAATGAAAGCGATGATAAACCTGGCTGATTATAGTTTTATCTGCGTCGTCATAGACCTGAGAAACCTGACTTAGTACAAATATCTAGACCACAGCTTTAGCCAACAGATTTCTGTAGCTATCATG